TATGAAAGAAGCTGATTGAAGAAGCTGATGTAATGTGACACCGAATGGAGTTTACTGGTAATTCAGCGGTGGAAATTTTTATTTGAATTCTGCTTTGCATGGTTTTAGTGTGAAGAGGTCTGATTTACTTATATGTAGAAGATCCAGACATGAACTGAAACACCAGTGAGATGCCCCAACATCTTGCCGGTGGAGAGGTCATTGGTACTTCCCTTCTTTTCTTTTCCAAGTTTGTAATGAAGCAAGAATCCTGGGATGCTGACTAGACTAACAGTGTCATTTAGCTACTTTGCCATCATGCAGGCTATGATAGCACATTGCAGACGGTATGGATTGGACTGCTTCTTAATGATAAGATCTTTCTTTGCCTTCAGTTATGGATCATGTTATTCTTCACTGATTCCTCTGGTCAACATCCACTTTGTGGTCCTTGTGCTTCACTTTGGTATTTGTTCTTCCTTTAACTCACACTATGTGATAAAGTGGATTATAAATTGAATGACCTTCAAGAAATGCATTATGATCACAAACTTTAAAAAGTTTAGAGTATCTTTAAAATTGTGATGTACTGTTTCTTGATCACAGTTGCTATTTGAGAATCTGCATGCTTTTGCATCTCCAATGTATGGAAAAGAGGCTTGTTAGCTAAGCAATGTGCACAGGATGTAATTTTCACTCTTAAATGCATACATAGGTTTTAGTGACTTTTAAAGTCATCACTGTTATCCAGTCAGATCTGCTCCATGTCATTGATACAGACCAATTTAGAGCAATTTGCATTGAAAATACTAACTAGACAAAAGGAAAAAATTATACCACTAACTTCATGCAGTTAATTGCTTGCATCTATATGTTAAAGATAATAAAAAATAATGAAATATTGATAGCACTGAAAATCTGATCTTACAGCTGGCTTCTCTCATTACAGTCAAAGGCCACTTCATTTTTTATGGTATCCATTGCAGTGTGAATTTTTTAAATTATACTTCAAATATTTCAGTAACAGGCTGAATTAAACTGTTTATTCACTTATACCATGTCAGTTGCAAGCAATATTTCACCAGTTAACATAAATCACACACAAAAAAAGAGTGCAATGCCTGCTCTGAGACAATGTTCCCAATCATACCCTGTCAGGTCACAAAAAAATTCCCCTTTATATTTCAGGTCTCATTGGCACATATATGAGTAACCAGGATTTTGAATAGGATTTATCAGTCCTCAAATCATGTCTCCAGAAAAAAAAAATTCTGAAGGAGTATAATAAGACCACAGGAGCCTGGTCCAATCAGCCATTCCTTATGTTGTAAATAGAGCCTACTCTGCAGATCAAATTGAGACAGAGATAACTTTTCCCAGCTGAAGACTTTCAGCTGTACAGAAAGGTGCTAACTATACTGTCAAATTCTCAGGCTTCTCTTTTATTGGTCTTTATCTGGCTTTGAACAATTTATATCTAAGGTGAAATTATGTCTGCATTTTAAAACTCCCCCAACCCCTATCATATATCTGTAGCAAGATGTTTTTAAAGTAACCACAATGATTTTTGAGGCCACGTATGGGATGCTTTTTGTGTAAGAAAAACAGATTTATGACAGTCTCCTGGAAAAAAAAAAAGAAAAAAGAAAAAACAACAACAACAAAACAAGAGTAATCAAGTTATGGCAGGTAAAACCCACAGATTAAATAGGTGAGAAATTGAAACTGAGGAAATACAGAGAAACCCTTAAAGCTATGGTAATATGCAGAGAACCTTTGGGAAATAAGCATGAATGTAATTGTAGTGTACAATTGGAATTATTACTTCAATTATGCTGGAATGTAATTTGTTCACACAATATTACATTTCTTTTTTCCAGACTCTGCCAAGATCCATTGAATTTTATTTTTGTGCTCTTCTCTTAGTCCCTAATAGCTTCTTGATCAAGAGAAGACTATCTACACCATGACTATTTTTTCTTCTTCCAACATAAAACTTCTGAGACAGGTTTCTCCTTCTTCCATTTTCATCTGAAAATCTTCTGCAGGCCTTCATCATGCAGTAGTAGGCTGTTGCCAGGCATTAATAAATAAAGAGCTATATCATCAGTGTTATTCAAAACAAGGCTACAGGAAACACTTTTTCATCTTGTTGCTTCGATCACATCATATATCTTTGCCGCCATTACCAATTTTCAGTTTACAGTATATGTCTTGAAAGAAAAGGCAAATATTTTTCAGGTTGCTTACTCACTGACCTATACATTAATTCCTTTAGACTATGATGGTGTCAGTTCCCTCCTTCACCTTTTCACTCTGTTCAGACCAAAGATTTTATCAGCCTCCACTTTCTTTCTGTGGGAGACAGAATATGAGAAAAACCCATGGCTAGACACGCAGGGGAGGAAGCCAATTTTCAGACGTGTCTTTAAAATATTCTTTCTGTCATATGATTACACTCTCTTTTTCAAAAACAATCTGGAGGATGGTAAGGAGGACTTTCTACGGTAATAAAGAGTATAGTATGACCTGTCTTTTTCACTTCATTTCCCATTCATCAGTACCATAAAATTTCACAAGCTCAATACCATCACCAGCTGCCAGACTGAGCATGTAATATTTTGGGGCAATTATTAGATCTGAGTGGCATATTCAAAATTAGGATAAGCCAATCTATCTTTTGGTGATCTGGTGATCAAATTCCCCTCAAGGAAAGGCTGAGCTCATCATTTAATAGTATATTCTGTACCTTTCCCTAATAGAGCTTCCATAAAATATCATTATGCTATTATGCTCTTGATTACAATCATCCATGCAGTAAGAGTTACCAAAAGATGACCTCTACTATAGGGAGCATTCCTTTATTATGATGAAGCCTAAAGGACTTGTTCTGTGCAGGTTTTTGAGTCCTCTGGTTTTTTACATGCCATTCTTTATTTTTTCCTTTTTCTTCTATCTCATTGACCTCAAAAGCCTACAGGCTTGAATAGAAGGAAGCTCCTGTTTAAATAGGTACCACAAAGCACAGGTACTAATTGGCAGTTTCTGCACTATGCAGCAACCTCAGCACTATAAAAGATGATACTTAGGCCACTTACTCATTCGTGAATCCGGCAACAGAGAAGCGAAGGGCAGCAGGTCAATTAGGACAATACTACGAGTAGTGGTAATAGACTTTCTATTCTGGTTTTTGCCTTAACAATTGGAAGGCAGTAGAGAGGACAGCCATGAGGAACTGAAGGGCCAATAGACTTCCCAAAGCATTCCACCAATCTTTATAACTCTAATGACAACAAATGAGGGCTGCCAGCTATACAGCTGTGCAAATAGTCGGCTATGTGGAACAACTGGAATCTTTCCTAAGCCGAGTGCTGAAGACAACTACCTTGGGGGAACAAGGACATTGAGCTCTCCAACATGGATGGCAAATGCTTTAATCAATAAGCTGCAGTGTGAAATAGGGGAAGGAGGGCTGTTATCAGTGTCAACATTTTAATCAATACTTTAAAGAAAAGAGTGATGTTTTCACATATATAGATGCTGTTCTAAGACAGCAGCACTGAGTTCTAGACAAGTGGAAAGTTCTGCGCTGGCCTACATGCCTTGTTACGCAATGAAGTAATGTGCTTTAACCCTGGGAAAAAAAAATCATAATAATAATAATGAGATTTGCCCTTCACTGAAGAAGGTGCCTTGCTGCAAAAAATGTCTGCTCTCAGGAGTGTCTTTTCGGCTGCTGAGCAATCTCTCTCTTAACAGAAAGCTCACAGTTCTTGTAGGGGCCATGTGGGTAATTTAGTGACAGGTGACAAATCATATGTATCCAGATAAGGGCAACAAAGTTGGTGAAGCGTCTGGAACACAAATCTAATGAGGAGCAGCTGAGCAGATGGGATGGTTCAGCCTGGAGGAGGCTCACAGGTGATCCACAGGCTGCCACTACACTACCTTCATAAGGTGGCTGAAGTGAACTCAACCTTCTGAAGAAACACCATCAATGCTGTGTGGACAGAACACCTTTTCTGAAATCCTTTGTGCAAGAACAAAGCTTGCAGAGCTGGTCCTCAACCCATGAGGAACTTAATTTCAGATTAACGCTTAGGAAATTTTTAAACGTTTTCTGCTGTTTATCTATTCACACTCTTAGTTCCACCCGAGGACTGCCACTGACTCGCGGGGCAGCTGCAGCAGCAGGGGACAGGCAGCGTCCCTTTATGTATTCATTTCTTATTATTTCTCTCACTCTTCATAGTGGGCGTGAGGAAATGAGCACCGCGCGAAGCAGCGGCAGCTGCACCGGGGGAGCCGCGTGCGTGAGGCAGGGACAGCAGACGCGATTACTTCAGAATTTATTTAAGGACCGGTGGAAACCACTGCTGCCGCTTCCAGGGGAAGTCCCCGCCGCCGAGCAGTGCCCATCCCGGCAGCCCCCCGGCATCCCCGGGCTGCCCCCGGCCTGGGGGGCGCTCAGCCACGCGTGGCGTATCCGAAGGCGCGCCGTTAATGACACGCCTGGGCCGTTCAGATTATAGCGGATATTATCGCCGCTTTGTCACGGCCGGATTACGGCCGATGATACGTTTTATTACGCTGTGTATCCGATTAGATGAGATGTACCGCCGTTCGCCTCAGCGCTCGAAATCACGGCACGCACTGGGCTGGGGAGCTCCCGCCGCCCCACACTGACATCCCCCGGCGGGCCGCCCGGCTCCCGGCGCTGTGGTGCGGCGGTGAGCGGCGCTCTGGGAGCTCCTCTCTGCGAAGCTGGACGCCGCCTTCGCTTCTGATCGTGCAGTCGTGCGTGCGTGTGGACTTGAGTCACGCACGGAGGCATAATTAGCCAGGGAGATACTGAAGAATCCTAGCAGCCGGATATCGCTCCGTTAAGTGTAACAAAAGATGAGAAATAAAAGAAAGATGCTTTCGCCCCGGCCCCTCCCCCCCGCGCTATCTCGCTTCCAGCTGCAAAGATGCTGTTGCTTGAAAGAGGCTGCTGGAGCTTTAAGAGCCGCTCCCCCCCCGCCTGCTCCTGACAATGGTCTGAGCCGAGCTCTGCTTCTCAAAGCAAAATTTGTAATATGCCATTTTTCCTATGGATGCTTCTCCTCCTGGCTGCTGACGAAGTGACCGAAGAAAATGCTGAGGTGCCGAGCAGCTTGTCGTGCCGGAGGACGAGCGCGAGGGCTGGGGGTTTCTCGGAGCAGCGCCGGTGTCACCATTGCTAGGAAGATGGTCCGGGAGTGCTCGGCTGCGTGAGTCCCCGGTCGGAGCCGGTGCAGACTGCGGTTATTATTGATCAAGTGCAATAGCAGACGCCGAAATAAAAGACACTAGGTACCGAACCCTTTATTTCTGAGCCAGACGTTCCCTTCTTAGCACCCACACCCTCTGGGAGGTGAGGTGCAAATGCAAAAAAGCTTGCGGTCTGCCTCTTGCTGCATGTGTTGTATGATTTAAATGTGTTTCTGTGATGGGAGTTGGGGAAATTCAGAGTAAAAATCAGGAAGTCAACTTCTTTTTTTATTTTTATTTTTTCTTTTTCTTCTTAATATACATATATATGTGATGGAGGGAGATGTGTGGCCAGAGGGATGTTAAAGAGCAAATAGTTGGAATGAGTCCTTTCTTTAAGGTGCTGTTGATGATCACCCCTCCTGTGCAGAAGTGCAGGATGCTTCTGTTAAAGGTGATATCATAGCTTAGTGAAGGCTGGCAGGTAAGGAGTTAACTAGGAGGAGGAATATGTGTGTAATGCAACTCAGACAATAGGAAGGATTTTCCTTATGGAATTACGCTGTGCTGCTTTAGAGCAATCTTGCTGAGAATTTTTGAAAAGTCATAATTATAGAAAGGACAGGTTTTATCAGTCACTGTACGTATTTAGCCATTTGGGGAAAAAATAATACCAACAGCATGTAAATGTAAAATATCCAGAATGATCCAATGAAATGAGTTTTCAAGCTGATGTCACTATGGACAGGCTAGAATATATGGTAGTTAAATTTCCACTTCTCTTTCTTGCAACAAAATTATAAGTAACTTGAAATGACTCCTCAACCTTGGTGTACAAACTCAGCAGCTGAGTATACAAAAACAAGCTTTTAGAACCAATTATGGACAAAAAGATGAAGGAATAAAATTAGATTCACATCTGAGGTGATAACCTTCAAGGTGAGCAAAATGCATGCTTGCCGAGGAGCCTTTGTCAGGCAGAAGCCAAGTGTTATTGTATCTTCTAATTTTCAGAGCTTGCCCCATTGAAGGAAGTCTGGCTGGTGAATTACTCCCAGCCTACATGAGAATGTAGAGATGTCTGTTACTGCATTCGTTTTTTAAAAATTAAGTATTTCCCAGACTCTTGGACAAACGAGACAAGAGATGTCAAGTAGGGTGGGGTCCAGTGAGAAGAAAGAGGACAAATTTGTCATTTTCCACTTTTATAGCCTATTACCACAGATAATTCAAGTGGTTTTAGAAAAAGTCAGTATTGGGGATGCACTTTCAAACCTCGTTCATACATGATTATCATCATCTTTAGATTAGAAGATACATGAGGATTGCTATCAGTTCATTTGGTAATGCTTCATATAGTAACTCTAAGGGTGGGCATGTACTGTGCTATTGGCAGCAATTTTTGTCCGTTCACTCATCTGGATATGTAAACTGAGCTGCAGATTTGTAATTGAGTAATTGGTTCACTCTTGATGGAGACATCACGCTCCTAACTATACACTGGCTGCAACCTGAAAAATCTTTCATGAAATGACAATGAACCACATTCTTTTCCCCTCTCACAAAACAGATCACTTCAAACAATGGTTGTTTTTTACCAGTTAAATGCTGGTTCATGATTTCTTTTAATATTGTAGGCACTGGTCTAATAACATTTGACAGGCTCACTGGTCAAACATAACATACATTTGTGATCTTTATGCTCCTCTTTGGAGGTAGTAAGATGACAGGTTAATGGCTTGCCTACACTAGTGACTTTCAACCATCTTTATAGATGTATCCAAATTCATTGACGTTCCTGATAGTGTTGCCATAAACTTAAGCAGTTCTTGCATTAGCCTCTATGCAAATCATTGAAGAAAAGACCGAAATAGGAACCAGTCAACCTAGAACAGATTTTTCCACACATTTTGTAGTAGATATACAACAGATGAGGCAGAGAGTGTACTTAGAGAACTTTAATGCTCTGTTTCACAGGCTGCCATTGTGTATATATGGCTATGACACCTGATTATTTCAGGTCTAGAAATACTATTCAAATAAGTCCTTAGGTTTCAATGAGCTTATTTGCTTCCAATTAGAAGAATTCTAAGAATATTACATTGCCGAAGTGCCACTTGTTTTCTAGGGAGCATGTATGTGCCTGTATCCTGCTTCTGCTTCAAAACCTCTCAGAGGTCACCAAGGTAGTTGTCAGGTGTTACATGAGTTCGGTTACCTACTAAAGTCTCCCAGAGTTTAGAGCACTTGGTGTTCTTCCTGAGCAAGGGAGTTGTCATGTCTGCTCTGTGTCTCCTAAAGAATGTAAGAAAGTGTTTGTGTATTAGCAGTAAAATACCGGTGATTGAAAACAAATAGCACCTGTATTATATAAGTATACATAGTATTATATGGTATATATAAATACTTTGAGAGTAGCTGGTAAAAAATGCAAACTTTTTACTGCAGAGATAATCATTTCAGTATCAATGGGGTTTTTATTTTTAAAGAAAACCACATTTTGAAAGTCTTTTGGTTGACTTGGATCATTCAAGCATAGTCTTAACTATGCTTGTCAGGCAGGTCAGGCTTTTTATTGTGAAATAACACACTTCTCTCCTTTGAATAAGAAATATGTAATGCATTTAGGTATTAATGAGACATCTGTCATCCTTTCCCTCCATTCCTTTTTCTTCTTTGCATTCCCAAATCCAGAGAAGTATTGCACAGAATAATTTACATGAAGGCTTATTTGGTTTTCATCAAACTCTGTGGTCTTGTGGAGGAGTTTAAGCTACTATTTGCAGTCCCTGCATAGCCACTGAAACAAATTCTAACTCCCTCAGTAGTCTTTCTGGAATGCCTGTGTACCTTTGCATGTAACTCAGTGTACCATCAGTCATACCCTGAAGGAGCAAGATGCTCTCTGTCTTGTTCCTCAACTGTTCTTGAGTAACAAGATGCTCAATGAAGATCTTCATTATCCCCTTCCATTCCTCCCCCGACTTCTTTTCTGGCTCATTTTTCTGGGGGCAACTGCATGCAGTTCTTTACTGTCACAGAGCTGCATGGACTTGCTCGATGGATGGTTGGGCACTGCTGATGTAATTAGGTATGATTTGAGATATCAAGACAGGAAACTAAATGGGATGCCTAATGTAGTCTTTCTTTACCCTCCATGTGAACAGAGTGTTGGCACAGTAAATAACTTCAGTGGGAATTTACTCAGGCTGCAAAGCTGGCTCCTGATAGCTGGTTGCAAACTTCTGAGTTTATTCCACTTAGCATCAGGTAGCCTTTTCTTTTGAGAAGAAAGTAACACCATATTTCTTTGTCCAGAGGATTCTTATTTTTATTTGTGGTTTTGGGTTTGTTTGTTTGTTTTAAGAAAGAATAGTGTTAGGAAGTTTGGTAGGTTTCTTGTTTTTTTGTTTTATTTCTCTTGTTTTTTTGTGTGTTTTTTTTTTCTTTTTTCTCCTGATGAGAATACTTATTAATGTATTGATTTCTCTTTAATGGCACAGTCAGAAAGCTTTCTAAACATACTGAGTACCTGATGCCTTTATATGTATTGTAAACATCGTCAAGATAGCAAAGCCCTGAATAAGAAAAAAAATCATGTTCCAATTTTGGGAAAAATATTTTATAATTTATTATATTTGCCATTTCTTGTGATTTCAAAAAAAAAAGAGAGTGTACCTATTAACTACTGCTATTGCTTACATAGGTGTTGCCCTGCCTACCTAGGCTTCAACAGTGTTTTAATATTCTAAATTTTTTTCTTTTTCATTATTTGCTTTACAATGATTCAGGTAAAAGATGTAAAGCATTACTATCTTTCTTCAAGCTTTTGTTTGTTTGTTTGAGATACTTGAATGATAAATAAAGCCAGAATGTAAGTAGAATCATTAGAAGCTTTTGAATGAGACTTTTGAAATTCTGAGTTTAAACTGTTCTGAGATGAGGCGTTTTATGATCCATTGTAATACTTTAGTTTATTCTTCTTGTGCATGTTTTCTGCCAAAGAGCAATTACCTGTATTTTCTATATTTTTGAAAATGTGACTGAAGCATAGCTGAGCTTTATTTTTTATTCATTAATGGCAATTTTATTTAATTTTTGTAGAGGTCTTCTAAGTACGTTGAATCCCCCATTCTCTACAAGGCAGGCCATGCTAATAAAATCAAGAAGGTTTTATTGTAAGAATATAATGAGATGAGCCACAGTATGCAGTTTTTTGTTTCTTTTTGTGATGTTTCGTGTTTGTTTGTTTTTAAGATTTATTTCATATTTTCCTTCAGCCTTATTTAAATGTATATTAAAATCAGAGTATATCCAGAAACATGGATTACTCAGAGTGGAAGGGACCTGCAAAGATTGTTTGCACCAACTCCTTGCTCAATGCAATGCCAGAATAAGATCAGATTGCCTGAAGTAAGCTTGAAAAATACAAAGAAAATTCTATGATTATTTTACATGTCTGAAGTTTAAAGCAGATATTTATACACTCCAGCTTTGCTTACATTGCATCACATTGCCTGAAAATTATAACAGAATTTACTTTGCAATTTAGAGTTGTGATAGTGCAATCTAGTGTTCCCTTGCAAGCTTTAAAGAAAGGATTCTGATGCTTCATGCACATCACTGTTCATCCCCCATTTTCTGACAGCTCTGAATTCTTTTTCACTAATAGGATTCATCAGAAATGTGTTTTGTAGTATTTGATTGGAATGTATTGATTATTAAAAGGAATATTATACTGTAAAAGTGGGAATCTTAATGCAGCAGCTGTCACATGCAGACCAAATGGAGATATTAAAATACTTGTGAAGACTAGGTGAAGATATTTTTTGTATTTGAATTTCAGTGTGAACATGATCTTAAATGAGAAACTAACAACCTATTATGTTGTACAAAAACAATCCAGAAATGTGGAAGGCTGGAAAACTTAATTCTGAATTTTTTGATAGTTATAGAAGTCAATTGTTTGGCAAGGGAACAGGATCTCAAAACACTGGCTGTTAAGCACAAAGAGAAAATAAGGAATAGCCAGATATCAGTGTATCACTGTATTTGTTCTGTTCAAGAGCCATGGTTCAGAAAATCAAGATCTATCAGCCTAC